GTAAGCAATTGCTTCCAGAGGTTTTACTGTTCTCGGAGGTCTCGAGGGTATTGATCAGCTTATCAAAAGATAATAGCTAGTGCAGGATCTCCCATGTACTGTTGTCTAGGACCTCTGTGATGGAGGATTGGAACAACTGGGAGGCTGTGTTGTCTGTGGGTGTTGTGTCATACAGTTAGCGAGGCCATGGCCTAGTGATATCACTGGACTGTTAATCCAGAGATCTGGGTAATATTGTGGGGACCATGGTTTGAATCTCACTGGTGAAATCTGAAATCAGTTAAAAATAATCTGGGCAATAAAGTGCTGACGGATAGATCTGTCTGGCCACAACCAGGTGTATCTATGCTGTGTTTTGCCTGCAAGGGTGATGAAGATGTCATGCAGCGAGGCATCCAGTTTGCTGTCAGCCCTTCTGAATTGTCCAGCTCCATCGATGATGCAGTTGAAGTCAGCAGCCAGAACAACTGGCCTGGGTGTTGGCAGCAGCAGTGGGAGCTATTGAAGGACGGCCAAATTGTTCATGCCCTGCTACAGTCCAATTAAGGTTTAAGCCAAGTCCTGTCACTGGGTGAGTTCCTGCCTCTCTGTGCTTTGGACGAACTGTTGCATCTTAGTAGAACAGAGGTAGCTGTCGTGTTCCTCCCTTGGTGGGGGTGGGGGGGGTGAAGGGGGAGGTGTGGAGGGTGGTGTTGTCTAGTTTAATATCCTGTCCCAAATTGAGCAGAGCTGTTGTTACGCTCTGCTCCTGGTTCAAAGCATCATTGGTTCCGGTTTTTTGGTGCTGTGCTGTGCTGTGATGGGTACCTCATGGTTACTGACATTAGGAGGTGGGCTTTCACCAGGTCCCTCACGATGTCCAGCGTTTCTGTATCAGGTGAGGCCCATCTCCTCCTCCTTTTGGTGCTTTACCTCTTCTGTTTATGGCGATCCTCCCATACGTATTCATTAGAAGAGGAGTCACTGGTATATTCTTCGTCGAACTTCTTTCCACTCTGCTGCTGGCCTGTGGTAGCCCTATTGTAGGATCGAGCAAAATCCCCATCGTTTGAAATACTGGATAAGACCCTGGACTTTTCCAATATCCAGAATACTAGGCAAAACCCTGGATTGAGGCTACAGCAAACATACAACAGTGGCAGCAGAATGGGAATTTCTGTCTGGGACTATTGGAATTTCATGCTGAGCAATGTACACCTCCTCTCTGAAAGAGCAATCAACCAATCCTGACAGACCCTCGACCGAGACAGCTTTTATACCTCAGGCTACCTAGCACAAACAATATGAAGCCTACAGAGTTACTGGACATTCAACTTCAATCGAAATCCATTCACATGTACAATACGTACAAAGACTTTTAAGCGACTCTTGGATAGGCACATGGAGGATAGTAAAATGTAGAGTATGCAGGGTAGATTGAACTTCGTAGGATAATAGGTTGGCACAACATTGTGGGCCGAAGGGCCTTTACGGTGCTGTACTGTTCTATGTTCAATGTACTCTTAACAATTAGGAAAACAATTGACTTCATAAAGAACACCACAAACACAATGGAAAGCACAGATTTGGTGTGAAAATAAGGGGCCTACAATCAGTATAATTGCAGGCCTCAATCTCACCTGACAGAGCTATTTTCCAAGAGCAACTCCAAGAACAAAGGGGTGGCTATGGGCTATGAGCTATGCCTGCCTCTTCATAGGACACATGGAACAGTCCTTTTTCCACTGTTACACCGGCACCATCCCTCACCTCTTCCTCCACTACATTGTTTATTGTATCGGCGCTGCCTCATGCTCCCACGAAGAGCTTGAACAGTTCATCGACTTTACCAACACCTTTCACCCCAACCTCAAATTCACCTAGACCATCTCTGATACCTCCCTCCCCTTCCTGGACCCCTCTGTCTCCCCATCCAGTAACCGTCTCAGCACCAACATCTATTTCAAACCTACCGACTCCCACAGCTACCTAGACTACACCTCCTCTCACCCACACTCCTGCAAGAAATGCGATCCCATATTCCCAATTCCTCCGCCTCCGCCGCAGCTGCTCCCAAGATGGAGCATTTCACTCCCGGACATCCCAGAAACCCTCAACGACATCTCTTGCATTTCCCGCACTTCTGCCCTCAAATCCCCTCCCCGCCAAAAAAAAGACAGGATCCCCCTAGTCCTCACATACCATCCCACCAACATCCACATCCAACGAATCATCCTTCACCATTTCCGCCATGTACAATCTAACCTCACCACCAAAGATATATTTCCCTCCCCACTCCTATCTGCCTTTTGTAGGGACCACTCACTCCGTGACTTCCTCATCCATTCCACTCTCCCCACTAACCCCACCACCCACCGCACCTTTCCCTGCAACCGCAGGAGGTGCTACACCTGCCCTACACCTCCCCCCTCACCTCCATTCAAGGCCCAAAGCAAACCTTTCATATCCGACAGAGTTTCACCCGTGCATTTTCCAATCTGGTTACTGTATTCATTGCTCCCAATGTGGCCTCCTCTACATTGGTGAAACCAAGCGTAGACTCGGTGACCAATTCACAGAGCACCTGCGCTCTGCACGCTATAATCAACAACACCTTCCGGTTGCAAACCATTTTAACTCCCACTCCCAGGGTGACATGTTCATCCTGGGCCTCCTCCAGTGCCTCAATGATGCCACATGCAAACTGAGGAGCAACACCTCATATTCTGCCTCAGAAGCCTACAGCCCAATGGCCTAAACATGGAATTCACCAGTTTTAAAATCTCCCCACGCCCAGCCTCATCCCATGACCAACCCTTCCTCTCGACTCCTTGACATGACACAACCTGTCCATCTTCCTTCCCACCTATTTGTCCCAGCCTTCCCACTGACCAATTCCCACTAACTCCGACCTACATCCACCTATCACCATCCCAGCCCCACCCCTCCTCCCCCTATTTATTTCCCAGCTCCCTTTCCCCTCCCCAGTCCTGAAGAAGGGTCTAGGTTAAAACGTCGACTCTCCTGCTCCTCTGATGCTGCCTGACCTGCTGTGTTCCTCCAACTCCACACTGCATTGATGAAAGTAATCCAAAAATGTTCTTAGTGCTTCTGAGCAAGAGCTACCAGACACAGGCTTAATCTGAACCAGAGGAACTAACGGCAACCGACCACAAACAGCAAATCCAAGAACTGACAAACTCCAAAAAACCAACCGACCCAACCAACACCACTAGGCCTCAGACACATCCTGAGGTGAAAACTAGGTCTACAAAACTAGCTGAAAGGGGAAAAAAAAAAAACAGGTACTCACCCAATACATCCAATATGCACCTTACCACATCTGCGGACTCAAACCAAATTGAAAAACATACTCAGCTCGACGTCTTCATCCAGGCTCCAGGTATGTCAAACATATTTCAAAACCACATTTTCTTCAGTGGTGAGCTGAAACTCCCGAGACCCCAAAGCTCAGCCAAGCAAGCAGGAAGGTGGTTGGTGACAGTGCATTGGGACTTCAAGGGTAGGAATTTTAAAAAATTAAAACTGTTGTTTTTAGGTTCTTATAGCTTTTGATTGAGCTAATAGTGTATTTAATAATATTTCTGTCCTCTGTACATTGCATTTACCTATATTTCTTGTATTATACTTAACTTGTATTTTTAATAAATGCAGATTCTTTTGCCCTGAAATACCTGTCTACTGCCTTCTTCAATTCACATTCCCTAAATAAGTCCAGTGCCTCAAACCAGGAATCTGGGGTGATTCAAACAACTTAAAAATTAGAAAATAACTGATGGAAACCAGAACCTTGTCTGAAGGGTTTTCCTTTTGCTGTTCATCCTCAACACCTGTCACATCCCTGCTTGTTCACTGTCTTCTCTGTTGACTCAGGTGGAGGTTCAGTTGGTTTATCACTCTTTGGAGCATCTTTTTCTACAAGCTTTGCCATCTTTCTGACTGTCCCTTTTTTCAGTTGTCTTATTCGAGGATGATGCCTTACTGTTCTTTTGGAATCCACGACTTCTGTTGCCACTTTTGGCCATTGGTGCATATGTGCCCCAAGCTGGAGGGTACTCACACTGGTGACCACCTTTAGGGTCAGCTTGACCTGCCGCTAGCTATTCCAGATTCCAAAGGGGCCCACTGCATTTGGTGCAGCTTCCTTCACGTTGTACATACCTTCCTAGGAAGGTCAGGACACTTGCCAGGACATGGAGGTTGTACATATGGATTGTAACAAACCGGCTCCTCTGCACTGGGTGGAAAAACAGTGGTACCACAAACAGGACAGACAAAAGACCCTCACTTCCTTTCTCCCCAAATACCTTCAGGAGATACTCACATGACACATCAAAATAGTCCCATTGGCAAAGTCCTGGAGATGGAAACTATCCACTGCTTGAAACCGACACTAACCCAGGAAGGTCCTCTTCATAAAGAAGGTCTGATTGATCTGCATTCCTTCCTTCGCCTTGTTCACAATCACCCTGTGTTCCAGACACCTTGGTCTGGAGTTCAGGCACTTACAGTGATCATAGCTCTTGTTGGTATGACACTGCACTGGTGTTATGCCAAAGTCCAGCATAAAGATCCATTAATAATGCCATAGCTCAACCAACAGTCTTTCAATGTCTACAGAGATGCAGGAGCTCACCCACTAATAGGGGAAACTAGGACCAACAGCACAACCTCGGAATGAAGGGATGACCCTTTAGAACTGAAATGAATAATTTCTTCAGCTAGGTGGTAGTGAATCTGTGCAACTCATTGCCTCAGAAGGCTAACTCATTGAGTATCTTTAAGACAGTGATAGATAGGTTCTTGATTAATAAAGGAATCAAGTGTTACAGGGAGAAGACAGAAGAATGGAGTTGAGAAACATATCAGCCACTATTGAACGGTGGAGCAGATTCGATGGGCCAAATGCCTAATTCTGCTCCCATATCTTATGATCTACAGTCTTAAATAAGTTTTATTGTTTTAATTACTGCATGTTCACTAACTTTTGTTTCATAAAATAATTTCATAATTCCCAGTTTTATTTAGATGAAAATGTTCTTTCCATTGGTTTTTCACTGAACACAATTACATTCAAAATAATTGATTATTTGACAGTGCAATTTTTTAAAAACACAACAGTAACCCATTTACTCTAATATCAAAATATACACCACTGCTGTATATTAACAGAGCACTAAGTCACAGCAATTAATAGTAGTATGAGGAGAATCTGACGAAGTCAATACTTGTACAGTATATTAACCATATTGAACACAACATATTATGTACAAGAAACATTCCCAATGGTTTTGGTCTACAAAACAGATTTGAAAACTAACATTATATGAAGCTAACATTACATAAGCCAAACAAGGATAAAATTATCACCAGTAAACAGTAAGTATGTCCATATCTCACACTTATTTTAACAGGTATTTAAAACATACAAACTGAAAAAGTTTGAACAACTGAACGCATTAAACTGGATTTCAGCAGTTTAAGAAAGCAAAAATGAATTTGCTACCAATCTGACAGCTGTCTGTTTAAAATACTTCATTACCTGACACCAAAACTATCTGTGTATGGAAAACAATAGTACTTTGATTAGAGATGTGCTCTGTTTAACTTTTCAATAACCTTTTTTATAATCCTGCAGAATCCGACAGATGATTAAGTTATGACAGCTTCTATGTAAAATATGGCATCACATTAAAAGTATAGGGATACAATGGAAACAATCTCAATTTTGAACAACAGTATCTGGTACTAGTTACAACAGTGAAGCATAGTTTTACATTTACTGTTTAATGCTTGAACATAATAAACACAAACTTCATTGTGATGTAGCCATCTTACAACAGTAAAGCTACATCTAGCTATGGAGAAGGGGAGTCATTTTTCTAAAATAAAAGTGATGCAGAAGTGTCATATCAATATTTGGAAAAATGTGTGAATTTTTGATGAGGGAAGATTTACTAACTCTCTCTCTGTCTCAATCTCAAGCTTTTTAATTGATTCATGAGTCAAGTTGGCAGATGTTACCCAGATGTTTTAAATCAAGTCATAAACAAAATGCTAAGTTTAGGTCAATCCAGGAAATCAGCAACCACAAAGTTAAAACTGTCAGCTAGGTTGCTGGTTGTTGTAATTACAAACTTTGATATCAATGAAAAACAGGCCCATCCCCAAGCTTTTTAGTTTGAACTCAAGGTGTTAGCTGCCTCTCTTAATTTGCCAGTTAAAAAACTTTTTCCCCCTTTAACCCAGAAAAATGTGTAAATCCTGAAAGACTGAGGAGGTAAGTAAATACTCAATCTCCAAAATCAAATTGAGAGTTGGTGAGTATGTAGTTACAAAAATGTGTTGGATTCATGAAGTGCTGTACTATAAACTAGCAAACCAATATCATTGTGTATCTACAAAAAGTTGCTACACAAGTATTATTCCCAGGAAACTGAAAACATTAGTACATGTCAATCCACATTAAACAGCATAACAAAATAAAATTGCTTTTGTCAAATCAAAACGTACAAATATGTAACCAATATTTTTCAAAACGCATGTTTATCAAAATATAACTGTAGAATTTTAAAATGTAAACGCTTTGGAACAAAAAATGTTCATATTTTCCAATGACTACAGTTTCTCGCCAATAGAAGCACTGCAGCTCAAAAGAACTGCTAAACCTGGCTTTTATCACAGGAAAGAGTCAATTTCTTGTAATATTCTTCTCGTGGAAAATTGTAAAACACTGGCTTTACTGCGAATTGCTAATTAGGATTAATCATTCCAGTAACACCTAACGAAGAACTTAGTTTTCATTGATTTAGCTACATACATGGCAGTTCATAGAAAAAGTAGAAGCAACGTGAGTCGAAAATGAAGAAAGAATTCAAATGTACAAACTTTAAAATTAAACCACAGTTCATTCTGAATCCAACTTAAATGGAAATTTATTCTTAATCATAGTCTTTCCTATAGCTAGAGAAACTTAAATTAAGGTGAATAAGGAATCTAGACACAAGTCAAATTTGTTGTAAGATGCAGTATGTTATTTTAGTTCTGTCTGATGTGAACTGAATTAAACAGGATTGTATTATTAAAATATACATCTTCAATATGATTGTTTAATGGCCCCTACATTTCTCCCTAAAAGGTTTAACAATGTCAATTGTGATAGTGGTGATATTTATTACAACAGATTCATGCTTAAATCTCCCGAAACAGATTTTATTCTCAATCTGGGTGGCATGCATTAATACAAATCAAAATTTAAAGCCTGTGATGTTACATCAGTTAAATGTTTCTCTTCACTGGCTTACAGTTTTCAAAGAACCAAAATTGTCACATTAGCTTTTTGAAAACATCATTTTTGATACTGCCAGCCTCATACAAGTATACATTGCAATTTGTAAGATCAATCTTTATATATTATTAATATTTTAGATATAATATTATTATCAGTAATAGTCACCTTTTGGGATACTAACACTGGGTTTAGCTGGACAAAATATCAACAAAGGACCTGCTGCTCATTCAGTAAAAGAATTAGTGTGATTTCCATTCAGGACATGAGTATCCAGCAAAGTTTCCACTTAGTGAATGTGTGACTAACAAAATCTTCAAATCAGGAAGCAGATCTGAATGGCTTATTTCACTCAGCTGATATAAATACTATATGGCTTTTATAAAGCTATGCTTAACACTTAATGAGAAAATTAATATTGCCCAACTTAATTCCTGAGGTAAAATATTACTTTTAACTATTACACAATGGCATTGTATTTAAAACGTAAGGCACGTTTCACGAATACCTGTTATAGTACAGTAACATGCAAATGGCAAAGAGAGGTACTGGCTGTAAAGAATTATAAAAATTCCTCAGATAAGATTCAAAATATTTTGCACACAGCTGGTTAGGGAAACAACTTAACTTGATTAGTGCGTCTAAACGCAACTTTAGAGAAAAACTAGTTTGATTAAATTAGATCTGAAATTCTCAAGGAAGTAGGAGCAAGTTGGCTGCATACTTCTGTTCAAGTATACTGCCAGGTTAATTCACCAATATATTGATTATTTATATTTTATAGAATCAGTGGAATAACGTATGTTAAATCTATTTTCTTGAAGGATGACTTTAATGCCTAATCACAATGGTATGGACCAAACAGATAGGGAACCAATATGTCACTGTTTCCATGTTAAATGCAATATTTCCCTGAACTTTATATCACCCACAACTGTCACTTCTCTTTGCATTAAACTATTTTCTCTCTCAAAATATTTATTTCAAAGTAATCTGTAGCCATACTATTCTGTGTTAACAAATTCAAACATATCTGCTCTCTGCATTAAAAAAAATCAGAAGTAAATAACTTGGAATGTCTTTCTACTGAAAGATGTCAACAGTGAGTATTTGTAGGAATCTAAACTTTTTTCAAGAGATTATATCTGGATCTGAATTAGATCACACACTAATCCAAAATTTGGGTAATGTTTTGAAATAAGAGATTAGCAGTAAGAGTTTGGAATACACATGGTACCTGGCCCCTAATGCAATGTTTGCTCATTCAGAGTCTATCTTTAGCTGAATGATGCAAGTGGAATAGGTCAGGAGAGCTCGAAACTGACAACAGTGAAAGCCAATACTCAGGTCAACTTCAGTTCAGAATAGGCCCTTGGGAACATTAAGGCATTTTCCGCACATTAAAAAAAAGTATCTCTCTGTTTATCGGCCGTTATTTTGATAGCAATTCTACTGTTAACCTACTGAACATGGAAGAATGTTTTGGTTAAATCATTTAACTGTTATTCTGGCACCTGTTTGAGGCCACTAATGTTGCAATATCAGACACTGCTACAAAGATGTGCAAATGAATGTCAAAAATATTTAATTGCAAACTGTTGCAATCTTAAAATGGTTAAGCAAATAATCTCTTGATTTTCATGGTCACACTGCAAGTCCTTTCCAAACTGTTGTTATCACTCCTCGGTTGCCTGTTTCTGAGTTGACCAGACTCTCTGCTCTTACATCCTTGAAGCTCCCAATTTGCTTCTTCTGCTTCTGTTTACATTTTTTCAACATATGAACCTGAAAATATATTACAGGAGCTCAGAATATGTAGAACATAGAACTGAAACAATCTCCTTTTCACTCAACAAATGCGAATATTTAGCACTGTCCTAATATTTTGCATCCTGTACAGAGACCAGTTGACTTGGATTACCTCAAGGAGTCTGGTAATTAGCTTCTGCTCATGGTTCAATAGGACCATATGGTGACAGTTGAGCAATAATAATGCTGCTAAATGTCAAGGGACAAGATTGAAACTGTGTTGGCAATTGTCATTGTATGTTATTTAGAGTCAAAGTCATATAGCAGGAAAACAGTCCCTTCAGTCCTACTCATCCATGCAGACAAGGTATCCTATATAAATCTAGTCCCATTTGCCAGCATTTCGCCCCTATCACTCTAAACCCTTCCTATTCATATATCCACCCAGATGCCTTTGAAATGGTGTAATTGTACCAGCTTCCACCACTTCCTCTGGCAGCTCATTCTGCTCCTGCACCACCCTCTGCGTGAAAAAGTTGCCCCTTAGGTCCCTTTTATATCTTTCCCCTCTCATCTTAAACCTATGCCCTCTAGTGTTGGACTCCCCTACCCTGGGCAAAACACCTTGGCTATTCATCCTATCTATGCCTCTCATGATTTTATAAACTTCTATAAAGGTCACCCCTCAGCCTCCGATGCTCCAGGGAAAATAGCCCCAGCCTGTTCAGCCTCTCCCTAAAGCTCAAACCCCCCAACCTCAGCAACATCCTCATAAATCTTTTCAGAACTCTTCTGAAGTTTAACAACATCTTTCCTATAGCAGGGAAGCCAAAACTGAATACAGTATTCCAAAAGTGGCCTCACCAATGTCCTGTACAACTGCCATCCCAACTCCTATATTCAATGCACTGACCAATAAAGGCAAACATGCCAAATGCCTTTTTCACTACCTTGTGAGATGTAAGGTGTGTCATTTAAATGTATAATAATATTATTTATTTTTGACTCGGAACTTTAGAATTTGAACTATTGGCATAAGGGTTTTCAATATATCTGAAGGGATTTAATAATTAACTTGCAAGTGTGTGAGAGGAATCATGTTCAACAGTGAGAGAGAAAAACTTCTTGGAAGTAATGGATCTTTGTTTACATTGGGAGAATTTTACAAGCAAGGAAGGTAAAATGTATTAGGCTCTAGTTTGGAAGGTCAGGGATTGATTTCTATTTTTTGATTAAGGGAAACACCCATAGCTTTGAAAGGAAAAAGGTTCTGCAGGGTTCCTAGATGATATTGCATGTATCAAGCAGAAAGAGAGAAGATAGTTTGAAATTGTTTAAATAGCATATCTTGTTGTAAGGAGTTTAGTTTGAAAGTTCCAGATCAGAAGTGTTTCATGAAAACCCTGAAGGAGTTATTTGAAGCTCAGAAAGTTTAATCTTGATTGTATGAAGATTTAAGGAACAGGCCAACAAATTCTCAAGACTGGGGAATTGAAACCATAGCTAAATCAAACCCTATGTGTGACAGAAAACAGAATTCTCATTCTGGTGTTTAAGTACTGTGAACGGGGCTTTTGGGACTAATGGGATCGTAGCTTACCGTATGTTTTCATATCTTTAAAAATGTGTGTTATGTGTAGATAGTTTGGTTTATTCTATTTTGATTTTCATTTCTTATGCATAGTAAACTAATATTTTACTGTTAAAACCAAATCTGCAGCATTTTCAGTACCACCTCATTAAAAGCAAAAATAAAAAACAAGATCACATATCAAGCCTGATTTCAGTATTGGGATCTGACTTGTTCAACAATAAGGGCAACAGATACATGAAAATCAACAACACCTACAAGGTCCCCTCCAAGCCATTCACAATCCTTACTTGGAAATATATCACTGTTCCTTCAGTCGCTGGGTCAAAATCCTGGAATTCCCTCCCTAATGACATCTACCTTCATCAAATGGGCTATAGCAGCTCAAGAAAGCAGTTCATCATCTTCTCAAGGGCAAGTAGGAATGGCCCAACCAGTACTGCCCATATCCCATGAGTAAATAAAAGAAAATCTGCTGGGATGATAATAGTTGGCACTTGTCAACCCAAGTCTGGATATTGTCCAGATTTTGCTGCATTTGGACATGGAATACTTCCGTATCTGAGGAAGGTACTGTCCAAGAAGCCTTGTTGAAGAGTTGCAATTCATCTTACAGATAGCACACACTGATACAAAACCTCATTTGAGGAGGAAGTCAATGTTTGTGGATGTGGTGCCCAACAAGTGGGCTGTTTTGTCCAGGATGGTGTCAAGTTACTTGAGTGTTGTTGGAGATAACACAGTGTGGAGCAGGATGAAAACAGCAGGACAGGCAGCATCAGAGGAGCAGGAAAGCTGATGTTTTGGGCCTGGACCCTTCTTCAGAAATGGGGGAGGGGGAGGTAGGTGGGATGATGATAGGTGAGTGCAGGTAGGGAGTGGTCAGTGAGGTGGGAGGAGACGGACAGGTGGGGGAGGAGACGGACAGGTCGGGGAGGAGACGGACAGGTCGGGGAGTCGGGGATAAAAGGGGCTGGGGAAGGTAGGTGGGATGGCGATAGGTGAGTGCAGATAGTAGTGGTAGGAGAAGCGGATAGGTGGCAGAGAAGACGAACAGGTCAACCAGGCGGGGATGAGAGGGAGGGTTGGTCATGGGATGAGGTCAGGGGTGGGGAGATTTTGAAGCTAGTAAAGTCCACATTGAGTCCATTGGGTTGTAGGCTCCCAAGGCGGAATATGAGGTGCTGTTCCTCCAGTTTCCGGGTGGCATCGTTGCGACACTGGAGGAGGCCCAGGATGGACATGTCATCCAAGGAGTGGGAGGGGGAGTTGAAGTGGTTCGCGACTGGAAGGTGTTGTCGTTTGTCGTGAACTGATTGTAGATGCTCCACAAAGCAGTCTCCGAGCCTCCACTTGGCTTCCCCGATGTAGAGGGGGCCACATCGGGAACAGCGGATACAATAGACCATATTAGTGGATGTACAGGTGAACATCCGTTTAATGTGGAAGGTTTTCCTGGAGCCTGGGATGGAGGTGAGAGGGGGAGGTGTAGCACCTCTGGATTCAATGCATCATTCTCTGCCACTTCTGTCACCTGCATGACCCCACTACCAAGGATAACAAGGTGTAGAGCTGGATGAACACAGCAGGCCAAGCAGCATCAGAGGAGCAGGAAAGCTGACATTTCGGGCCTAGACCCTTCTTCAGAAAATCCACTACCAAGGATATATTTCCCTCCCCACCCTTATCTGCCTTCCGGATATTTGAGGGCCACTGTATTACGAGTCCAGTGACAGTACAACTGCACCATCATCACCCCTAAATGACAACTTTCTCGGATCCCATCTTCCTTTCACCCTATAGAATCACAGAGATCTATAGCACAGAGAATTGTCTTTTGGTTCATCATGTCTGCCTGCGCTAGTCAAAATCAATCACCTAAATATTCTAATCCCATTTTCCAGCACTTGGCCCATTGTCTTGTATGCCTTGGTGTCCCCATCTCAAACACTTTTTAAATTTATGACGGTTTCTGCCTTTATCACTCTTACAGACAGTGGGTTCCAGAGTATCTTCCCCTCACCCACTCATCCCCACCACCCCCCAATCGCCCCTCCGTCCCCAACCCCCCCACCCTGCTGTCCCGACGCCCCTCTTGCCCCACACCCTTCTCGCCCCGCCGACCCCACCCTCCTCTCACTTTGTCTTCCCCCTCCAGCTGTAACTTGCCACCCCCCCTACACCAGTCACCATTTCATCTTGTCCCTTAGTGATAAATTTCATAAAACAATATACAAGATTAAATGTGAGCAAGTTTGAACAGAGCAGCAGTAACATTTTCACAATTTCAACAGCCAAATCTTTACAATCTATAGACTTTTAAAATCCATCCTTGGCACCAATAAACCATCATTTAAGACAGCAATTACATAAAATTCCCCTCTTACTCTTTTAAAGGTCGGCCATAATCCCATTCACCCGCGTTTTGTCATTCATCTAAACTGCAGCATTTTATTCAACACTGGTTTCTCCAAATAAACCATGTCTTGCATCCTCATACCTTTGGCCCAGCAGCAGATATTATAATATGTCCTGGTGACTGAATCCAAGGCTCTCCATCAACTTGTACAGGAATTGATTTCAGCAGCGTGACTCGGAAATATGTCCCCTGTGCAATACGAATTCCAGACCGTAAACCACTTTGCACCTGGCCCTAAACATCAAAACAAATCATCAATGTATGGAAACAATACACAGCTATTTCCTTCAATTCTCTATTGCTGTCTGCATTTTATCGACATTCATTTTAGACAATAAAATATTTTTTGTTTGAGGAAGAAACTTTATAATCTGTTAGCATTGTCCCAAACAAGAGAACCTTAGAGGAATTGCACTACCTTGGTGTTCGCTGTAGATAGGCACAATTTAAAATTATGGAGTGGGTCCAGGGCAGATGACTAGTAGGTCCAACTGTGTCTGCACTGACTCTCTGCAACGGCAATGTAGTCCCATATTTTTCCACGTTCTCTTCAGGTAATTACCCACTTTCCTTTGAGACCTTCAAAAGAATCTACCTCCACCACACTCTCAGGCAGCGGTGATAATACCTGTACTTTGAGAAAAGCCTGAATTTTCTTTTTGTGCCACATTCCCTTGCAAACCAAAGTGAAACTGGGGAGTATTCTGAGAAGGGGCAATTTGTTTCCAGGTGATATCACCATTAGGTCGCAAGTGTTCATGTGACCCAGTATTGATATGGGGATGAATTGAAGCAATAAATAAATAAAAAAACAATTAAAAACTGAAAGAACTGCAGATGCTGGAAATCAGAAACGAAAACAGAAATTGCTGGAAATGCTCAGCAGGTCTGGCAGCATCTGTGGACAGAAATCAAGTTAATGTTTCAGGTCCAGTGACCCTTCCTTAGAATTGATGGTAACCAGTAAGTTGCTTTTTTTATGCAGAAGATAGGGTTGGGGGAGGGGTTAACGAGTAAACAATAAGTGCAGATAGAGCCCAATGAGAGAGAAGAACAGTTGGACATACAAAGGAGTGGATAATGATCAGCCCAGGAGAATGAATAGCTACTAATGGGGACTATTAGTGGCTAACAATGGGTTTTGAGTAAAAGAAGACCGTGTGATAACAAGGCCTGGTGTGTGGGGTTGAGGTAAGGACATGAAAGAAGGTGCCTAATGCCCTAAAATTGCTGAACTCAAGATTGAGTCCAGAAAGCTTTAGAGTTCTAAAGCAGAAAATGAGTTGCTGTTCTTCCAGCTTGCACTGAGCTTCAATGGAGCACTGCAGCAAGCCTGAGAGAGAGATGTTGACCAAGGAACAAGGTAGTGTGTTGAAATGGCAGGCAACTGGAAGCTCAGGTTCTTTTTTGTGGACAGAGCGTAGGTGTTCTGTGAAGTGGTCACCCAGTCTACGATTTGTTTGCCCAATGTAGAGGAGACATGTTGAGCAGCGAACGCAGTAGACTAGACTGTGTGAAGTGCAGGTAAATTGCTACTTCACCTGGATCCTCTAGATGTGGATGCTGGTGGGCTGGTAGGTAAGGACAAGAGGGAAGAGGGGGTGTGAGGTCGGAAGTGCGGGAGACGGATTAGACCCGGCTGAGGGCCCTGTCAACTATGGTGCTGGGGAAGCCTTAGCTGAGGAAGGTGGTTAATATATTGGAGGCTCCCTTGTCGAAGTTGGCATCATTAGAACAGATGCAATGGAGATGAAGGAACTGGGAGAATGGAATACAGTCTTTACAGGAAGTAGGGTATAAGGATGTATAGTCAAGATAACTGTAGGAGTCAGTGGGTTTGTAGTGGATATTGGTGGCCAGCCTATCTGCAGAAATGAAAATTGAGATGTCGAGGAAGGGTTTGGGTCAGAGATGGAGCAGGTGAAGGTGAGGGCAGGGTGGAAACTGGAAGCAATATTAATAAACCTCTCCAGTTCTGGGCGAGATTGGGAAGCAGCAGCAATTATATCATTGATATGTCTGAGAAAGAGCTGGGGGTGGGGGCCAGAATAGTACTGGAACAAGGAATGTTCCATGTACCCCAGGCATAACTGGGATCCATGCAGGTGCCCATGGCCACCCCTCTGACCTGAAGAAAGTGAGAGGAGTTAAATGAGAAGCTATTCAAGATGAGCACAAGCTCAGCCAAATAGAGGAAGAGAGTGGTGCAAGTTGGAGGCGGTTCAGGTCTTTTTTCCAGGAAGAAGCCGAGAGTCTTGAGACCATCCTAAAGGAGGAATGGACATGTAAAGGGATTGCACATCCATGGTAAAGAGGAGGCAGCTGGAGCCCACAAACTGAAAATTCTGAAACAGATGTAAAGCGTCAGAAGAATTGGGGATGTCAGTTGGAGGATACTGGGCAAAAGGGAGAAAAATATCGAGTCGAGGTGGGAAGAGATGAGTTCTGTGGGACAGGAACAGGCAGGAACAATGGGCCTGCCCAGGCAGTCCTGCTTGTGGATTTTGGGATGGAGGTAGAAGCGAGCTGTTGGGGGTAGGGAGACGATGAACTTGGAAGTAGTGCAGGGGGACATCACTAGATGAAATGAGGAAAACTAATTGCGCAGTAGTCTCAGTTCCACCTGGCACAGAGGTTTGATATTAGAAGTCTGAACTTAAAACAAATATTGCAGTTGTGTTGGGTTCCATCCTGTCTTGTAGCAGGCAAATAAAAATAAAACTTGTCCTGCAGAACATTGAATCCTTACAAATAGACTGGTTTTCTGTTTGAAGCTAAGAAGAAAATATCACTGAAACTGAGAACTAATACAGCACAGGAGGAGGCCATTCAGCCCATAATTTTTGCACTGGCTGTACAAATACACAATTCACTTGATGTTATCACCCCCTCTCCTCTCCTCTATGTAAGTTGTACAGTCTCTCTCTTCAGGTAATAGTCTAAAATCCTTTTGAATTCTTTGATTCCATCAAACTCTCAGGAAGTGCATTCCAGATCCCAACCACTCACAGTCAAAATGTTTTTCTTCATGTTGCCATTGTTTCTTTTGGGATTTACTGCAAATCTGTGTCCCCTCATTCTTAATCCTTCCACCAATCATAAATTCAGTCATGGCCTTGAGAGACAAATGAAGAGTAAGTTGGTGGTGGAGTAGGATGCTTCAGCCGGAGCTCATCCACTCCTTCCGTTCCTTTACTTTCTTCTTTCTCGTCTTTTTCTCCTCCTCTTTGCTCTTCCCAGCCTCCAACCTCCCAGCCTCAGCACAGACTTGCCGAGGCGTCCTCCCTGCCCAACCTGGCAGTCTCCCGGCCCAGCCTGGCGGTCTCCCTGCGGCACAGCGTGGTGGTCATTGGGCAGTACCATGGCAGTCTCTCGGCCTGGCCTGGTGTCCTCCTGGCCCGGCATGGCGGTCTCCCTGCGGCGCAGCGTGGTGGTCATTGGGCAGTACAATGGCAGTCTCTCGGCCTGGCCTGGTGTCCTCCCGGCCCGGCATGGTGGTCTCCCGGCCCGGCCTGGCCATCTCCCTGCGGCGCAGTGTGGTGGTCTTTGGCAGTGCTGTGGCAGTCTCTCGGCCTGGCGTGGACTTCTGATCTCGAGGTGATTTCACAGCGATCTCCTGGCCTCTTGAACACTGAGATGAAGCCAGGCGCTGTCTGGAGTCAAGGCCCGGTGAACTGGAGGCCAGGAGTCAAAATGGACTGGGTTGGAAAACCGTTGTTCTGAATATTTTTTTCCTCCATTTTTAACTTATTCTTAAGTCTGCAATGCTGAACTTTTTTACTTCTCTATCTTTCCAAGAACTGTAAGTGAAAAAGCTGTGCCTAGGGACCTTTATACCCAAGATGGTGCTATAAATGGTGATTTGTACACTTTTCACTGCACTCATTTGAATACGTGACAATTAAGCAAATTTTAATTCAAAGTATACTCATAATTCTTCCAACATGCCCTGCCTCCATACACAGCTTCCCTTTTAAGTGCCTAATTAGCCCTATTTACATGCTCATAGAAGACATTTGGATCTCCATTTATAACAGTGTGGAGCTGGAGGAACACAGGAGGCCAGGCAGCATCAGAGGAGCAGGAAAGTTGACGTTTCAGTTGCTGGTCGGTGGCATCAGTGGGAGACGAACCAACCCGAAACATCAACTTTCCTACCCCTCTGATGCTGCTTGGTCTGCTATGTTCCTCCAGCTCTGCACTGCATTATCTCTGACTCCAGCATCTGTAGTTCTTACTATCTCTGGATCTCCATTTATGTTAGTTAATTAAACCACAGGAAAAGAAAATGTACAAGAGCAGATCCTACCACTCCAAAACATCCCCATCCAACTCAACCAAACCCGACAGTTGCATTTTATCTGAAGCCCAGCCTTAGAATCATTGGGATTTCAAATCATGAAAATTTACATCTAATTTTTCTGGATAAGTGAACTTCAAAATTCTGCTTTCTGCATCATTTCAAGACAGTGGGGTACAGTACAAAGGCGTCCAGCTTTTATTTGTTGGCCTGTAATTGGCAGAAATCTGAAGACACGTCACAAACAAGCCGCAGAGGCTCAGGTGCTGATCTGAGACAGCGTGTGGATAAATAAAGAGGTAGAAGGCTGTGAAATTACTCTTTGTAATTCATTTACAATCTTACTGCGTTGTGTCAAGCTCAGATTCTTGCTCCTAGTTCCTGAAAATTGCTACTAGGAACTGAGCAATTTTTGAAGGCAAAGGCCAAGAACATCATCCCTTGAGGGTTTTAAATTTGACTCGTGTATTTCTAACAATTGAGTAAACATCTCTTCTCAGTTTTGTTTTGAACTTCAACAGAGTTTCCATAACAGTCTAACACAATGAAAAGTTTGCTTTTACCATATGTACCACACCAGTGACACCAACTACTTCCAGCATCCCATCATCAATTCGGGGTTTTTCAAAACGACCATCACTGTCAGATCCCCACAGATCTGCTCCAGATCCCCAGCTGTGAAAAGTCATGCAGATAGCACATTCTAATAAATGAAATAAAATACAACTCTCATGGCTTTATAAGTAAACAAAATAAACTTTATATATTATATATAGAGAGAGACCTTTAAGATCACAATGGTTACCATTAAGGTGAAATATTAATATCCCAAGAAAAACAGTTCGCACAAATCGCTTGTCATTTAGCCCAATGTAATAAATTGCTGTACTCATGAATATTCAGCACTACTGCTTCTGTATAAACTGTGTGTGTAAAGCATGAGTTACAAGCAAAATTACTTTTCGCAGCACAGAAGTTTATATTCACTTTACAAAACGCTGCAGACACTTCTCAGTTCATATGAAGGAATACATTCAAAAATTATTTAATACATTGCAATTTAACCAAACCCAGGTTACAGTTACTGTATGTGGAGATGATAAAGTCACCTCTGTTCTGCAGTCACACTAAAGGACTGTCATGACATGGGGGAAATTTCTAAATATTTATGTAATGTGTCTGCGAAATATTTATCTTTGGAATTTTTTTTAAAATGCTACTCAAAGGAACAATAGGAATAGTTTTACAGAACTGCTCCTTACACATACCCTGGCCACTGGAAACAAGTAATCAGGTAAATATGTTCAGTAATTTTTGACAACGAACACAGGATTTAGATACAACAGGGGAGGCAGTGGCCTAGTGGTTATCGCTAGACTATAATCCAGAAACTCAGGTAATGTTGTGGGGGCCCAGGTTTGAATCCTGCCATAAAAACCAAAAGAACTGCGGATGCTGTAAATCAGGAACAAAAATAAAGTTGCTGGAAAAGCTCAGCAGGTCTGACAGCATCTGTGAAGGCAAAAACAGAGTTCACATTTCGGGTCCGGTTACCCTTCCTCAGAACTGTTCTGAGAAAGGGTTACCGGACCTGAAACGTTAACATTGAATCCTGCCAAGGCAGATGGTGGAATTTGAATTGAATTTTTAAAAAATGTGGAATTAAGAATCTACTAATAACCATGAAATGATTGTCACAAAAACTTATCAGGGAAGGAAATCTGCCTCCTCACTTGGACTGACCTACATGTGACTACAGACCCACAGCAATGTGGTTGACTCTCAATTACCCTCTGAAATGGCCTAGCAACACATTCATCTGTATCAATTGCTGCAAAGCCTTTTAAAAAAAAAAATGAAACTGGATGGGTCACTTGGCATTGATGCAGGCATCGTAAAAGACAACAGCAGAAAAAGCCCTGTCGACCCTGCAAAGTCCTCCTTACTAACATCTGGGGGCTATTGCTAAAATTGGGAGAGCTCTCTCACGTACTAGTCAAGCAACAGCCTGACATAGTCATACTCATGGAATTATACCTTACAGACAACAGCCCAGAAACTGCCATCACCAGTCCTGGATATGTCCAGGACAGATCCAGCAGAGATGGTGGCACAGTCAGGAGGGAAATGCCCTGGGAATCCTCAATGTTGACTCCAGGCCTCAAGTCTCATGGCTTCAGGTTAAACATGGACAAGGAAACCTTCTGCTGATTAGCATATACCATCCTCCCTCAGCTGATGAATCAATACTCCTCCACGTTGAACAAAACTTAGAGGAAGCACTGAAGGTGGCAAGGGCATAAAATGTACTCTGGGTGGGGGATTTCAATGTCCACCACCAAGAGTGGCTCGGCAGCCGTATTACAGATCGAGCTGGTTGTGTCCTAAAGGACATAGCTGCTAGACTGGGTCTGTAGAAGATGGTGAGGGAACCAACAAGATGGAAAAACATACTTGACTTCATCCTTACCAATCTGCCAGCTGCAGATGCATCTGTCCATGAGTGTATCAGTAAGAGCGACCACTGCACAGTTTTCATAGAGACAAAGTTTTGCCTTCACACCGAGGATATCGTCCATCGCATTGTGTGGCTCTATCACTGTGCTAAATGGGATAGACTTCACACAGATCTAGCAACTCAAGACTGGCATTTGTGAGGCATCAACAGCAGCAGAATTGTACTCCAGCACATTCTGTAACTTCATACCCCTGCATTTGCCCAACTCAACCATTACCATCAAGCTAAGGGATCAACCCTGCAGCACCAGGCATACCTGAAGATGGGGTGTCAACCTGGTGAAGCCACCAAACAGGACTACTTGCACACCAAACAGCATAAGCAGCAAGTGATGGATACAGCTAAGTGATCCCAAAAACAAAAGATCAGATCTAAGCTCTGCAGACCTGCCACATCCAGTTGTGAATGGTGGTGGACAATTAAACAACTCACTGGAGGAGGAGGCTCCACAAATATCCTCATCCTCACTGATGGAAGAGCCCAGCACATCAGTGCAAAAGATAAGGCTGAAGCATTTGCAGCGATTTCAGCCAGAAGTGCCAAGTGGACGATCCATCTTGGCCTCCTCCAGTGGTCCCCAGCATTACAGCCAATTCAATTCACTCTACATGATATCAAGAAACAGTTGGAGATACTGGATACTGCAAAGGCTGCCGGCCCTGACAACATTCCAGCAACAGTACTGAAGACTTGTGCTCCAGAACTTGCCACTCCCCTAGCCAAGCTGTTCCAGTACAATTACAACACTGCTATTTACCCGACAGTGTAGAAAATTGCCCCCAAGTATGTTCTGTACGCAAAAAAGCAGGACAAATCCAACCCGGCCAATTACCACCCCATTGGTCTCCTCTCGATCATCAGTAAAGTGATGGAAGGTGTCACCAACAGTGCTATCAAGCAGCACCTGCTCAGCAATAACCTGCTCGGTGACGCCCAGTTTGGGTTCTGTCACAGACACTCAGCTCCTGACCTCATTACAGCTTCGGTTCAAACATGAACAAAAGAGGTGAATTCCAGAGGTGAGGCGAGAGTGGCAGCAATTGACATCAAGACTGCATGTGACTGAGTGTGGCATCATGGAGCCCTAACAAAACCAGAATCAATGGGCATCAGGGGGCAAACTCTCCAGTGGTTAGAGTCATACCTTACACATAGGAAAATGGTTGTGGTTGTTGGGGATCAGTCATCTCAGCTCCAGGGCATCTCTGCAGGAGTTCCTCAGGGTAGTGTCCTAGGCCCAACCATCTTCAGCTGCTTCATCAATGACCTTCCCTCCATCATAAGGTCAGAAATGGGGATGTTCACCGATGATTGCACAATGTTCAGCAACATTCAGATACTGAAGCAGTCCATGGTCAAATGCAGCAACATCTGGACAATATCCAGGCTTGGGGTGACAACTGGCAAGTAACATTCACACCACGCAAATACCAGGCTATGACCATCTCCAATAAGAGACAGTCTAATCACCACCCCTGACATTCAATGGTGTTACCATCACTGAATCCCCCACTATCAACATCCTGGGGGCAGCATTGACCAGAAACTCAATTGGACTCACATCAACACAGTAGCTACAACATCAGGTCAGAAGCTAGGAATACTATGGCAAGTAACTCATCTCCTGGCTCCCCAAAGCCTTCCATTTATAAGGCACAAATCAGGAGTGTGATGGAATACTCCCCACTTGTCTGGATGAGTGCTGCCCCAACAACACTCAAGAAGCTCGACATCATCCAGGACAAAGCAGCCCGCTTGATCGGCACCACATTCACAAACATGCACTCCCTCCACCACTGACGCTGAGTAGCAGCAGTGTGTACTATCTACAAGATGCACTGCAGAAATTCACCAAAGATCCTCAGACAGCACCTCCCAAACCCACTACCACTTCCTTCTAGGAGTGGAGGTGCCGGTTTTGGATTGGGTCGGACCAGGTCAAAAATCACACAAAACCAGGTTATAGACCAACAGGTTTATTTGAAAACACAAGCTTTTAAAGCATTGCTCCTTCATCAGGTTCTGAAGAAGTGTCACCAGACCCAAAACGTTAACTCTGATTTTTCTTCACAGATGCTACCTGACCCGCTGAGCTTTTCCAACAACTTCTGTTTTTGTATGGGAGCACCATCACCTGCAAATTCCCCTCCAAACACTCACCTCACCATCCTGACTTGGAAATATATCGCCGTTCCTTCACTGTTGCTGTGTCAAAATCCTGGAATTCCCTCCTTGATGACATTGTGAGTCAACCCAGAGCTGGTGGACTGTAGGGATTCAAGAAGGCAGCTCACCACCACCTTCTCAAGGGCAACTAGGGATAACTCATAAATGCTGGCCAGCCAGCAATACCCATGTCCCACAAATGAATTTTAAAAAATTCAATTTAAGTATGCTTTAATCACCAATAGTTCTTTAAAGCATTGGCAAAGATCTGTAGCTCGGGTTGGGGATGAGGTTGTTGACTTGCTCGCCGAGCTGGCTGGTTCTTGCTCAGACGTTTTGTCACCATGCTAGGTGACATCATCAGTGGAGCCTCCGATGAAGCGATGTTATCCGACTCTGCTTGGAATTTATACTGTCCAGTCCATTATGGTGAGTACTGTCATTTCCGGTTTTGATCTGTATGGGTTTGTATATGGGGTATAATTCTATGTTTGTTTATTGAAGTACGGGTGGAGAACCATGCCTCTAGGAATTCCCGTCTATGTTTGGCTTGGGCTACTATGGTTACTTTGTCCCAGTTAAACTGATGGCCTTCATTGTCTGAGTGTACCGATATTAAGGAGAGTTTGTCGTATCATTTTGCTGCTAGTTTACGTTCGAGTATTCTGATGGCTAGTTTCCTTCCTGTCTGTCCGATGTAATGTTTGTGGCAGTTGTTGCGTGGTATTTTGTAAACCACGACAAATGTGTCGTCTACGTACCGGATGCACAATTTAGGTTGAATGTGGGGGAGGGTGGTGTGTTCTATAGTCTTTGCATGACTGCTTCTGCTATAAGTCCTAAGTAATTCCATCAACAAGGACAACATACTTAAATTACTAGACCTCTGCCTCACCACACACTTTGTCTTTAATGGTCAAATATACAAACAGATCAAGGGTACACCAATGGGGTCACCTATCTCAGGACACATCGCAGAAGCAGTCAAGCAAAGACTAGAACACACCACACTCCCCTGCATTCAACCTAAACTGTTGATCCGGTACGTAGACGACACATTTGTCATTATTAAGTGCAACAAATTAGAAGAGACTCACCACCTCATCAACAGCATATTCGCCGGGATTAAATTCACAAGGGAAGAAGAAACCAACAATCAACTTCCGTTTCTGGATGTTGAGGTAGAACGACTGACAAATGGGGAGTTCCAAACCTCAGCATACAGAAAAGCAACCCCTACAGAACAAATCCTCAAATTCCACAGCAACCACCCCAATGTCCACAAACAAAGCTGCATTAGGACACTATTTAAACGGGCCAAGACACACTGCAACACCCCAGAACTACGCCAGAAAGAGGAAGAATACTAATACAAGATCCTTGCCTTAAACGGACATCCCCGCAAATTCATAGAATCATAGAATTCCTACAGTATGGAAACAGGCCCTTCGGCCCAACAAGTCCACACCAACCCTAAGAGCATCCCACCCAGACACATTCCCCTATAACCCGCTTAATCTACACAGCCCTGAACACTACGGGCAATTTAGCACGGCCAATCCACCTCGCCTGCACATCTTTGGACTGTGGGAGGAAACCGGAGCACCCGGAGGAAACCCACGCAGACACAGGGAGAATGTGCAAACTTCATATAGACAGTCACCCGAGGGTGGAATTGAACCCCGGTCCCTGGTGCCATGAGGCAGCAGTCCTAACCACTGAGCCACCATGCCACCCCAAATTCATCCACAGATGCCTACTAAACAGTCAACAACTGGAGGATACAGTACACCATAACACACTGGCCACACTGCCATACATCAAGAACATATCGGAACTGATAACCAGACTCCTAAGACCACTAGGAATCATGGTGGCCCACAAGCCCACAGCCACTCTATGACAAACACTTACAAGGATTAAAGACCCCATTCCCACAACATGCAGAACGAACGTGGTTTACAAAATACCACGCAACGACTGTCACAAACATTACATTGGACAGACAGGAAGGAAATTAGCCATCAGAATACATGAACATCAGCTAGCAGCAAAACGACACGATGACCCTTCCTTAATATCAGTACACTCGGACAATGAAGGCCATCAGTTTAACTTGGAGAAAGTAACCATAGTAGCCCAAGCCAAACATAGGACACGCACGGGAATTCCGAGAGGCATGGTTCTCCACCCATATTTCAATCAACAAACATATAGAATTGGACCCCATATACAAAGCTATACCGGACAGTATAAATTCCAAGTGGAATAGAATAACATCGCTTCATCGGAGGCTCCACTGATGATGTCACCTAGCATGGTGATGAAACATCTGAACGAAAACTACCAGCTCGGCGAGCAAGTCAACAACCTTACCAAGAGTTCTATTAATTCAGCAATGGGATCAGTCACTAGGACCATACACTGAAGTCCAACTTAATTAAATTACATTATTTCAGACTGTTGATGGGAGAGGAAATACATTACTTATTCATCTTGCAGTGAATTTTTCAACACAAATATTCAGGGATTTGGTTCTGGCCCAGTTTGAAACAGAGACCAGGAAGAGAAGACAATAAGGACTGCAGATGCTGGAAGCCAGAATCTATAGGTGTGAGGTAGACAAACAGGAGGCTGGAAGAACACAGCAAGCCAGGCAGCATCTGGAGGAAAGGAGCCGTCAACTTTTCAGGTATTAACCTTCTTCAGGACTGGACGTGGGGAGGGTGGGGGGGGGGTCTCCGCAGAGAGGGGGGGGGGGGGGGGTGGAGACAGAATGTGTTTGATAGGTGGGCACTAGTAGTAGGTACGACCTGGTTGGTCAATGGGAGGGATGAATCCGATTGGTGGCTGGAAGCGAGGATCAGAAGGTGGAATAGAAGGGAGGAGGTGGGGTTGGAAAGGAAGCCGGGGGATGGGTGGGAAGGTTATTTGAAAATGGAGAACTCATTGTTGAGTCCTCTGGGCTGCAGGGTGCCCAGGCGCAAGATAAGGTGTTGTTCTTCAAATTTGCATTGTTCCAGCCCACACCTCCTCCCTTCCATTCCACCTTCTGACTGTCCCTTCCAGCCATGAACCGGATTCATCCCTCCCATCAACCAACAAGGTTGTAGCTACTACTAGTGTCCACCTATCACCACCCAATCAGCTATCACCTCCCTTTATCTGCAGCTCCTCCCTTCCCCCACATCCAGTCCTGAATAAGGTTGACTGCTCCTTTCCTCCAGATGCTGCTTGGTTTGCTGTGTTCTTCCAGCCTGCTGTTTGTCTATCTGGATTCCAGGATCTGCGGTTTTTTTGTCTCTATAGGTGTGAGGCTGGAAAAGCACTGCAGGTCAGACAGCACCAGAGGAGCAGGAAAGTCAAACATTTCGGGCCAAAACTCTTCATCGAGATTGTTGAAGGGTTTGAGTCATGACAAAGGGTTTTGGCCTGAAACATTGACTTTCCTGCTCCTCTGATGTCGTCTGACCTGCTGTCCTTCTCCAGCCTCACACCTATTGACAGAGGTCAGGTACACCCCAGGTTTGATGCCACCTGTGTTGCAGGAACAACGCCAATAGTTGAATTTATATAACACCTTTAACATGGGAAAAAGTCCTGAGGTGCTTTACAGGAGACAAAAATTGACATCAACCTATCACATTAGGAGGGGTAACTAAAAAATTTGGAAAAACTGGCAGGTTTTACAGAGTGCCTGAAAAAAGCAGAGAAATTCAGGGAGGGGATGCTAGAGAACCAATTTTGTTTCTAAAGATTTACCTCGGAATGTTCAGAAAGATAAGGCCTTCAATATTTGGAAGTGCCACTTCATGATCGTCCACTTGAAGCTTTAAATCCTTGTGCAGACTACGTGTGTGACTAATCTTCTGCAACCCAACTTTTACATAAACTCCTTTGTTATGAAACCTGAAGTAGAAAAGGCTTCTTTTAAAAAATGTACCCTTTGAAGGAAAACTAACATTTTTCTGTGATTCAGATAACTTGAACAAAAAACAGCAGCTTTTCTTTATATTTACACTTTCACAATAGATAACCGTGACTGCATCACTCCATCAGCCCAATTTGAAAAGTTAACAGGATTGAAGGTTGATACTTGCCTGGACCAGAACAGCACTGGAGGTGGTGCATACAGGAATATTAGATGCATTGGTTTTTCTCTTTCACAATTCTATTGATCCTGGAAAGGTTCCTGAAAACTAGAAAGTAGCAAACACAATCCCATCTCCAGTGAGTGGAGTCCTGTTTAACGTTTGCTCATAAGACAATCTCTTCACACCAGGGATCATCCAAGTGAACCTTCTCTGAACTGCCTCCAGTTAAAGGATATCTTTCCCTAAATAAGGGGACCGAGGCTGCTCATTGTACTCTTGGTGTACTGCGCCTGGTACAGTTCCACTAAGACTTCCCTACTCTTCTATTCCAACCATCTTGAAATAAGGGCCAACATTCCATTTGCCTTCCTGATTACCTACTGCACCCGTGTGCTAGCTTTCTGTGCTTCAAAGGAAAGTATCCCATATAACTTTGTGTTGCAGCTGTCTGCAGTTCTTGTCCATTTAAATAATATTCTGTTCTCCCTTCCAAAACTAACTTCACATTTTCCCACATTATACTATATTTGCCAATGTTTTTGCCCACTTACTGAACCTATCAATATCTCTCTGCAAACTGTTGGTATCCGTCTCACAATCTGCCTTTCCACCTATTTTGTGTCGTCAGCAAATTTGGATACAGTACATTTACTTCATTCCTCCAAGTCATTCATTGATGGTATAAACAATGACAGTCTCAGCACTAATCCTTGCGGAACCCCACTGGTTACAGGTTGCCAACTTGAAAAAGAACGTCTTATTCCCACTCGCTTGCTGTTTTCTGCCTATTAGCCAATTTTCTATCCATGCCAAAATGCTACCTCCAAGACCATGAGCTCTTATCTTCTGACTTAATCTTTTGTGAGGGTAGCGTAGTTAATGTAGTTTATATGGATTTCAGCAAAGTCTTTGACAAAGGTTCAAATTGGGAGACTGAAAGAAGATCATTGCACATGGGATCAAGAATAACTTGGCAAGCTCAATTCAAAACTGGCTTCGTGACAGGAGACAGAGGGTGGTGGTAGAAGGTTGTTCGTGTAACTGGAGGCTGGTGTCCAGTGATATAGAAGAAAATGTGGTGGGGGGTAATGATTAAGTAAAATGCGGATTACACAAATATTGGCCAGGTGGTTGACAGTGAGGAAGAAGGTCTTATATTACAGCAGGATGCAGTCAGATTGGTCAGATGGGCAAATTAGTGACAGATACAATTTAACCCTGAGAAGTGTGAGGTGATGCACTTTGGAAGAAGGAGCATGGCAAGGGAATACTCGGTGAATGGCAGAATACAGAGAAGCTCAAAGGAACAGCAGGATCTTGGGTGCTTGTCCACAGATCCCTGAAGGTGGCAAGACAAGTTAATAGGGTGGTTAAGAAGTTATATGGGATACTTTCCTTTATCAATCCTGGTATAAATTATAAGAGCAGGGAGGTTGAGTTGGAGCAAAACTTTGGTTCGGCCACAGCTGGGGTACTACGCCCACTTCTGGTCACCGCTCTATAGGAGGGATTTGATTGCACTGGAGTGTTCCAGAGGAGATTCACCAGGATGTTTCCTGGGATGGAACAGTTTGGCTATGTAGAGAGGCTGGATAAACTCAGGCTGTTTTCTTTAGAACAGAGAAGACTGAGAGGGGGGCCTCAAAGATATACAAGATTATGAGGGGCATGGACACGGTGGATAGAAATCAGGCATTCCTCTTAAAGGGTCAACACAAAGATATAAATTTAAGGTGAAAGGCAATAAGTTTAGAATTAACTTGAGAAAAAAATGTTTTCGCCTAGAGTGTGGTGAATGCATTGCCTGGGAGGGTGGTTGAAGCAGAAACCCTTTAAAAAGTACTTGGTGAGCACTTTAGGGGAGGCAATGGCCTAGTGGTATTATCACTGGATTGTTAATCCAGAGGCCCAGATAATGTTCTGGGGACCAGAGTTCGAATCCCGCTAGGGCAGATGGTGGAATTTGAATTCAATAAAATATCTGGAATTAAGAATCTAATGATGACCATGAATCCATTGTCAATTGTTGGAAAATCCCATCTGGTTCACTAATGTCCTTTAGGAAAGGAAATGGCCATCCTTACCTGGTCTGGTCTACATGTGACTCCCAGACCCACAGCAATGTGGTTGACTCTGAACTGCCCTCTGGGGAACTAGGGTCGAGTAATAAATGCTGCCTAGTCAGCAATGCCCTTATCCCGTTTTTGAATTAAAAAAAGTCATAACATTCAAGATTTTGGGTAAGTGCAGTAAAGTGGGATTATTATAGATTTACAGTAGTTTTTGTTGGTGGAGATTTGATTGGCTGAAGGTCTCCTTCTGTACTATATGATTTCTATAATGTTGAAGCAAAGAGAAGTGAATTTTGGCACTGTTTCAACATAATTTCAAGGAACATTAAGACAAAGAAATGGGAGATCCCATTTGAATTTAAATTCCATATGGTTCTCTCTCCCTAGTTTAACCTATCTGACTGAGTAGCTGAACATTTAATAGGCAGTATTTAACAAAAGTAGAATCAAATTTTATTGCATAGAAATGTATAAAATGGGAAAATATAGCTGTCATTTATAGTTCAGTATCCTGGGGTTTATATCATAGTCCACGGAGGCAGGTTAGTGATAAAACAATGTAAAGGAAGGGGCAACTATTATGGTAATTCAACATTAACCAAAATCATTGCTGTGGGATTATAAACTAAAATTGTGTTCTGATGTTACTTCCCATTACAATATATCTGACTCATTTCACGTCTTGAATTGTTTATTTTTAAATGGCTGTTAGAGGTGGTAATCTCAAGATGAATCATTACTGGAATTTACAGCCAAATATAAAAATCCTTAAAAAATTGTCCAAAGAATAAAATAGCACTAGGAAAGATTCATATTTGGGTCCAGCATTCATTTCTTAGATAAGACAGTATCGTCTTTCACTGATATGACCTTAAAACAGGTTAGACTACACACAACACAGTGTGGAGCTGGAGGAACACAGGGTGGAGCTGGAGGAACACAGGGCGGAGCTGGAGGAACACAGGGCGGAGCTGGAGGAACACAGCAGGTCAGGCAGCATCAGAGGAGCAGAAAAGTTCATGTTTTGGGTCAGGACCCTTCTTCAGAACTACAGGTACACTACTCACAGCTGGATCCACCATCTACTTAATAACTTCAGCTATATATGGTCAGAAGATTAAGCCAATAGTTGTGCTCAAAAGATTTTGGCTCAAAACCTGGTTGGGAATTTTTCAGACTTCCCAGATAACCTAAAAGATATTTCAGAGCACTCTGGGAAATTAATTAATAAGGAGCAAGCTCGGTTTCCAACCAGTCTGCTCAGCATTCTTCTGCAAACACTTCATTTAAAAAAAAGATTTTCAAAATTGAAATCATCCATCCAGCTACTCAGCTGTCCCTGAATGAATCTTCAATTCTTTCCTCCAGTGTCCTCCCATCCGTCTGTCCAGTATCAACACCCCCTGCCCTGCCTTAGTAGCCCCTCCTCCCCAACCAAGTCGGCATTCCTCCTCGCTCTTCTTCGTCATCCTTGCAAATTCTCACTTATGAATACTCTGTATTCCTCAGGCATCTGTCTTCTGGTATTGGATCCTTACTCTGAGTCCATTTATGCCTGAATGTTGTAAACTAATTTCAAGGTTATCATCTTATATATAAGTGAAGAATGAAACCAAAGAAAATGAGATTGGTATTCCAAAGCATATTATAGCCCTGTGGCCAGTTACATGAAACATAAATGACCAGCTTCCCGAAGGAATTGATATCACTTGAGAAATCCTAAGAGGCAGGCATATATTTTTGAAGGCTGGAAACAAACGAAACAAAACATGCAATGGTAAACATCATTAGTTGCCAATCCATTCCAACAATACAAGTTTACAAAATGCTCGGCAAGGGTAAGCAAATGGTAAAGATGTGGTTCCAAATACTCTAGGTAAGAGAATGTTGGATAGAAAGACCAATTTATTTACAGCCAATATTGTTTAATTTACATTTTAGATGCACGAGAGAAGATTTTAATAGAGATAAAACATCTCAGAAGTATCGCCTTTATAGTTCTTGGTAAGACAGAAATTTCTAGTAGAAATCTTCCCGCTCAATCAGAAGATTCTAGGTTTGCAGTGGATATTGGAACACTAAATAAATTTAAAGAGGAGACAGATTTTCAACTGTTAACAAGTTGAAAGGTTATGGAGAGTGGGCAGGAAAGTGGAGTTGAGGCCGAGGTGAGGTCAGCCATGGTTGTATCAAATGGCAAGGCAGACATAACAGATTGTATTGTTTACTCCTGCCCCCAGCTATGCTCTTGGGGGTTGGGGCATAATTGCAGCTGACACCTCAATGCAGCACAGAGGGACACGGCTAGAGGTATCATGCTTAGCAATACACTTCAAACAAAAAATCACTTTAGGACATTCCAAGATTATGAAAAATGCCATAAAAATTGGAGACGGTGTAATGGCAACGTCATTGGGCTAGTAATCCATAGGTAGTCTAAAGGCTAAGGAAATAGATTGAAACCGCACCACAATAGCTGGTGAATTTTGCATTAAATTAATGAATCTGGAATGTAAACCTAGTCTCAGTCATGGTGGCCATAAAACTATCGATTTTCATAAATATCCATTCTGCAGACTAATGTCTTTTAGAGAAGGAAATCTGCTGACCTTGCCAGATTGGCCTACATGTGACTCCAGATCCACAGTAATGTGCTTGATTCTGAATTGTCCTCTGAAATGACTGTAGCAATGGGCATTCAATTCAAGGGCAATTTAGCAATGGCCAACAATGCTGGCAATACCCACATCCCATGAAGGAATAAGTATTACAAGTAAATGCAAGTCTTTCTTTTCACTTCCAAGCTGAAATGTTAGAGTGAGGCCCTGTTTCCCTCTTCCAATCAATGTAAAAATCCATGGCACCATTCACAGAACTAACACATTAAACATGTACACACACTGGAGTTTGTGAACACAATGGGCAGAGTTTAATGCTCCTGACACAAGTTTCTCTACCAGTTGGGGAACAAGTGAAAAACCTTCATTGTTTTGACAGGAGAGGCCTGCCAGGTCCTTAACTTGCAGAAACACCACCTCAAGGGCTGTCAGCCAATTGGAGGCCAGCTGCGCCACTGCAAATAGTAACTTCTACAGGGATTTCATTGGATCCTGTTGCTATTCTGTAGAACTGAGAGCTAATGGTTCAGGTAGAGTACTGTCACCAATCCTTTTGTCAACCTGTAACGGGTGGCATGCCACAAGAATTACTGCTGGGTCTACAATCATTTACAACATATTTTAATGACTTAGATGAGGAAAATGAATGCATTATGGCCAAGTCTGCAGTTAACACAAAAATTAGTTTGGGGACTCATGTGCATTCATGAAGGGGTAGACTACAAATGTAGTCATTAGATTGGATGTTCATTATGTGTCATGTGTGCACCAGCTCCAGTTTTATTCTTCACTGCCTGACTGATTTCTAAAATCCATGCCTTAATCTTCCCAAGAAATGGACCCTGAAATCTTTGACTCCAGGAACTCTCCATGAAAGCTTTCATGTGTTAATGTTGTATTTCTCCCTCAATAGGAGGAGGAACGTTGTTTGTGAATGTCCTTGAACATATAAAACCTGTGTCTCTACTTGTTCTCACTTAACACAGACTTATGGTTAGGACCAGTATTGGTTTGTCACCGTTGGTCAGCTTTCAATGGTTTTCTAGGTAGGATGTATGCCTAACAGTCAACCAAACTAAGACCCATCTGGCTGAATTTTCCTACAATGAATGCCACAAATGAGATGATTTACCTGCTATTGAATTTGTCTGGATCTTCTTCCCTTGCTTGATGGAAGTCAAGACTCAGTTCTGCATCAATTCCAATTCCACAATAATTGTTCATTTGTACAATCTGCAAAAAAATGAAATGATGAAATAAAGCAAAGAACTGCAGATGCTGGAGATGTGAAACAGGTCGAAAGTGCAGGAGAAACTCAGCAGATCTGTGGACACAGAAACAGAATAAACCCCTCAATTCCAGTGACTTTGTCTTTTTGAATGAAAAAAACAATGCTCTGGTCAAGAACATAGAACAAAGAACAGTACAGCACAGTACAGGCCCTTCAGCCCACCATGTTGTGCCGATCTATTATCCCACTGCAAGATCAAACTACCCTGCATACCCAACATCTTACTAAGTCAACTAAAACAGCCTTCAGTATCTCTAGAGACAACAAGGTGCAGGGCTGGATGAACACAGCAGGCCAAGCAGCA